AGCCTACAAGCACGGATCGAAGATTGTGAAGGTACCATGCTCGTGAGGACTATACGAACTCAACCACACCCATTTCAGGTAAGGAATCTTTCGATTTCACGTCGAAATCACAAGCACCGATTTTGGCACTGTTCATGAACTTTATGTTGGTTGATTTTTAGGACAATCCAAGCTCATAGTGAGCTTTAGGAGGTTCTCACGAAGCTCGGGGACGTTCGTTTGGAAGTTTTGGATGTCGGGATCGTGTAGTTCGAAGTTGGCCGATTTCTTGGAATTTCCCGGTGAGATTTCGTGATTTTTAGAGCCTTAAAGTAGTGTAACGTGAAACTACATGTTTAGGGCTTCATTTTGATATAAAATACGAAGAAAATGGTTGAGAAATAACGGAGAACAAGGCGTTTGAAAAATGCCCAGAATCCGGCCACCGGAAAAACCAGTCCTGCGACTGGTTGAGGAAGAAGACGCGCGTGGGGGCACGTGACAAGCCCAAAAATTATTTTAAAAATTTGTCGACGTCTGTGACGTCGAGTAGGTCACTGTGGTATATTCCTATACCCAATTTGAGCACCGTATGAGAAATTATTACGAATTATTGGTTATGTGCTTTAAATAACGTTTTTATAGTTATTTCGCATATAGGTGACACCTATCCCGAGGACGAGCGCATCCAGGGATGTCACGGGGGTTACGACCCTTCGACTTATCAGTGAGTGGGCAGTATTTCTGTTTATACCTATATACTATTGATATGTTTCCCAAAAATTGAGTTTGAACGAAAATACGTTTTCAAATGCCATGCATGCATGATAGGAGTTATATGAATTGATAATTGATGCATATATATATATATATATATGTGAATTGGTGCTGTGGACGCACAGGTGAGTATCAGGTGAGTTTTATGTTATTCATGTGCATTGTTGATGTGTATTATGTTGATAGCTCATAACCTGCAATCATGGTGTTAGTGCTTATATTATTCACCTCGCACCGCACGCTCACCTTGGATCCAAGTAGGTGCATGTCGTACAGACCATGAGAGGGTTCCGACATGTCGTACAGACCATGAGAGGGTTCCGACTGATAGGTGACCTTAGATTGTGTACACAGATGTTTGATGAGAGAAGCACTAGAGCGTATTATTATTACACCATCTTTATCGTACAGACTACTTCAGGTAGTTCTGATGTATATGCAGTGTAGTGCCGTACAGGTCATCGAGGTGACTCCAGATGGAATTGATATTGAGCTATAGAATTAACCGTACAAGATCAACTGCAGGGTCTCCGGTTAATTCATTATTTCACCTGTTACATTGATGCATCATTCATTCTATTTTTGAAAGTTTTTTAACATGGCATACTTTCTGGTTTTTAAGAAAGATTGACGATTTGAGATAAATGAAAAGTATTATGCTAGTATGCTATTTTCTGGGAAAGTATACAGGTTTTACAGCGAGGGGTTAGAAATGTTTTAAATGAAAGGTTTTCGAAAAGTTTTGTTTTACTGACCCACTCAATTTTGTTTTGCGCCCCTCCAGGTTCTAGTTAGCAGTTGGTGGCTCACGAGGCTTTCTTCGGCATTCTGACAGACTCTACTAATGTAGGACTCACCTGCGGGTGTTGTAACTTAATTATCATCCTACTTGACTGCACCTAGTTGCTTATGCTCTGAAATTGTGTGTTGCACACTTTAACTCTCTCTAGCATGCTTTTGGTTATTCTTGCTAGTAGTTGGTTTTTTTTGTTCTTTCGTAATTCTCTTATTTTGCTTCCGCACCGCACTTATGGTTACGTCACTCTCACGTGACGGCCAGCATGCCTTGATTCTAGGATCGGGGTGTGTCAAAATTGGTAGACAAAATTTTGAAAACTAAAGGACATGAAAGTTGATGATTGACTTATTACTTAAGAGTTGGTAAACGTGTTTATTTCTATTAATGACACATTATTTAGTTTGCAAGTTTTGTCTCCAAATTTAGTCTCCCTAGCATATCCTAAATCAAATATTAAGGATCGCACACCGGTATGAACAAAATCTAAGTCATCCCTTCAATGGCAAATATAGAATACTCTAATAGCAAATATATAATACTTTAATATATAAGAATAATTATCATATGCCACCTAAACTACGATTTAGTGATGTTTCTTTTCACTTATGGATCAGATGTCTTAAGTTTGAATTTCATGAATAACGAGTTTGATATCAATTTATTTTCATTTAATATAAATATATCACTGGATATTATAGTACTTATTTATGTTTATAGTTGGGAAGTTTATTTGATAAGTATACCAAAGGATAAAGTTGAAGCTTTTGAACTGTGATAATTTGATTTAATGACACTCAAATTTTACTTTGTTGAAAAATGTAATAAATTAAATTATCATTAACGACTCATAGATGATCTTGAATTTTGTGTTTCCAATTGTTGCCTGAAAGATGTGTCCACTCCTCCTGGTACTATCGGTACTATAGAGCATGTCTAATCGGTACTAAAGCTTTTTTTAGGAGTGTGTTATCCATACACGCTTTTTTATTTCTCACACATCTTATTAATTTTCAGTCGTCGAATCAAATGAATTGAAGAAGATTAAATGATATAATTTAATAAAGGGTGTGTGAGAAGTAAAAGCTGCACACTCCTTTTTTATTGCAATTTGGGGCTAGAATAGGAAAACAATCTAACCCTGGTAAAGGAAAGGGTTTTCTAGTGAGATAAGGATTATGAATCATTAAGTTCCTATTCTCGACTAGAGTTAGATTGTTTTCTTGTTTGTTTCAAAATTAGCTCTTTTAGCGTCTTTAAAGGAGACGTTAAATTCAAAATGCTAAATTTTAGTTTGATGTCTGACTTGGCAATTTGATATATTGTCAATATTTTCATTCCATTTGATATGCCAAAATTTATTGCTTCATTTATGTTTTTTTAACAAAAAAAATCAAAATTGCGTTGTTATTGGTTTAAAAATAATAATAAAAATACTTAAATCTGCTAGCATTTAAGATAAGGCAAGTAGAATGTCTTTGGAAATTGTTGACCCTAAAAACTACCAAGCATACGTGGCACGCAGGCCGAGTAATTAATAAGCTAACTACGTCATTCGGTTGTGTGCGGGGCGTGCCAACTCGACAGCCGAGCTCGGTCGGTGAGTAGAATATGTGGATGTGGCGTTGAGCGCTATGCTGAATTATTGATCTCGCGACTGCGACCAAGGAAGGAACACGTCTCGGCCTTCGGGTTCTAGAGCCTGAAGACAAGGCTGCTAGTTCTGCGAAATTTAATATCAATTTCAACTTTCAATGTACCAAATTTAGTAACATGTAACACCTCACTTCGCCGAGAAGGCTAATGAGATGACCTCTGCCAATAAGGATTCAAAAATCTTTCTCAACCGAGACTTGGATAGATAACTAGGTGGCCTTGTCGCAGTGCTGTTTATCCAAACTAAAGGTGTTTCGCGGTCGGCTGATTCTACGGCAACAGTGTTGTTTATTCAAACTGAAGGTGTTCGCTGGTTGCCTTCATAGTTCTGTTTATCCAAACTGAAGATGTGTTGGCGAAAAAGAAAATGAAAATCTCAAGATTGTTGAGAGGTTTCGCGTAGAGCGAGAATTTGCGAAAGGCAATTTGTGTGTTTAGTTGGAGGGGCTTTTCCATTACCACTGCCTCTATATTTATAACGCTGGTCTCGCTGATAATCCAAGCCGTAAATTTCTGAATCTCCTAATGTGTCATGGCTACTAGAAAATAATCTCTTGGTCTTTTGATGTATCACGACTACCAATGAGTAATCCCTGAGTCTCCTTACGCCACAAATCTTTAATATTTAAATACACCATATCTGACCAAATAATAATGGCTTTATCCCATTATCACATGATCAATGGTCAAAAAATTGCCACGTCACTATCTTATGCTAATTTGTTCTTCTCATCATGTCCATAGGCTGAAGCCTACTCCTTTTTGTTATCTATATATAATCATCCCAATCACATCACATCACCATCTCACAATTTCACCTCCACCCCATGCATAGATTAATTGCATGAAATTAATCCAGTAGTAGATGCACTGCCATATGCCGAATATCTCCAATTAATTTGAATTGTAGGTTAGAGATATTATTTGCATCACGTTTATCTGGTTTAAGAAGAAGCCAAGATAATTCACATTAATAGATAATTATTATGATAAAAACCATAATATTATCCTTTGACAATAACAAAAATTGTCTTCACTTTTCTATCCGATGGTTGGAAGCTATACTCACTCAACAGTCTTGATTGCATTAGCCGATGGTGTAAATTTGGATCCAAACAGAAATAGCAAAAATCTTATTTGACATCATGAAACGATGGCGTCAACTTTGACATCTCCTTTTTCATGTCAGTTTAGTCTTCTTTTCCATGTCAACTTTGACATCTCGGTTGGAGTAAAGGGTACGTCATTTGTTAGTGTTATATATGTTTATGTGGCATTGACATCTCCTTTGGATAGTAACTCGGTAAAATTGAAGTCTTGGCAAAGATCTAATATTTCGAATTATGTAACTATCTTGGCAATTTATAGTGTTTTCCTTTCTTTTTCTATTGAATAAGATTCAGAGTTTACCCCAAAAAAAAATAAAAGATTGAGAGTTTCTAACTTGTTTTTCTTATTTTGTTGTTCATCCTTGACTTTAACAATCTTGAGTTGAGTTTTGTTAGCTCAGAAGGCCCCGATCTGAATTGCTCTAATCTAATTGATCAAGCATTGCAATCTTTACTTTAAAACGCTGGTGAAATATCATCACATCACATGATCACATACAAAAGGCTGAGCTAGCACATATCTTCAGCAAAATGTAAACACCTTTAGTGTATTTAGATGAGTGAGACCCCACTTTATCCTATGAAGTCCCACGTGGCAGATGATCATTGAATAACCATCCATCCATGCAACTCCAATCTATCCTTCCCAAAATATCTCCACCGGCAGCTGACAAAACCCTACCACTTTCAAGTTAATCTCAGCCACCACCTCCACCAATAACATTTCTGACTCCCTCACTCCATAACTCATAGTCACAGCTGAGAGAGTGAGAAACAGAAAAAAATGGCAGTAAGCATGGCGACCGCATCAACCGTGATTGGGCTGGGTAGTTCCTCCCTCTCACCAAACAGGACATGCCTTACTTCAGGTTCATATTTCACACACACACACATATATACATATACACACTCACACATATATAGATGCTCTCACTAAAATGCGCCTCTGTGCACAATACACTAATGCTGCACTACTCTTTAATTACAGGCTTTGTGAAGCCTATCGTGGTTGGAAACCCTTTGAGGCAAGTTAGGGCTTCTGGAGGAAGGTTCACATGGTAATTTACCTATCATTTTCTAAAGAAGATTATGACCGTTGATTTTGTTGTCGTTGTTGTTGTCGTAAAGTAAAAATTGTTGTATGTGACTGTACGTATCAATGTACTGTGTTACTAATTGATATGTGATAAGTGATTGATTTATACTTGACGAGTATAATATTAACACAGGTGGTTTATATGACACAATGCCAACATGCCACATGTTAAAATCTTACCAAAAAAATTAATGGTTGTTATATTGTTATGCATGTGTACCAGTGCGTGGTTATAATCAATGTTTAGCCTAAATTAAGCAAACAATTAATGTGGTAACTGGTAAGACATCGATGCACTGATGCATATAGGGTTTTGTTTTGTGTTGAATGGTGTTGGGAACAAACAGTAGCTTTCAGAGGGATTGGCTGCGGAGAGATCTGAATGTGATTGGGTTTGGGTTGATAGGATGGCTGGCTCCGTCGAGCATACCGTTAATCGACGGTAAGAGTTTGACGGGGCTCTTCTTTGAGAGCATTGGTGCTGAACTCGCTCACTTCCCCTCACCTCCTGCTCTCACTTCTCAGTTTTGGTCAGTAACCCTTCTAATTTTTGTACCTTTATTATTTGATCTTGTTTAGATTACTATCAAAAGTTTTTCTTTTTTCCTTCCTTTTCTGTTGAAACACAAAATTGCAATAAAACAGCCCAAAGGGCACAATTACGACATTCAAGGCCCAAATACCCAAGCCATATAGAAACAACCCAAAAAAACTTTATAGGGCCCAAAACCACATATATGCAGCCAAACGCCACTCAGAATACCCCCCCAAACAACCCCTAAATCCCAAATATAAAGGTTTTTGTATTTTTATTTTTCATACAAGCGGTATTGAGGGAGGGTGAATTGAACTTGAGACATCGAATATAATGTGAATGCTCATAATTAACTGAGCTACTAACTACTTTCAATCCCAAATAAAAAACAAAGTGGAAGAAAATATGGTTGCACTAGCTATCGTATATGTACTTTAAGGATTTATCTCACTAATTACGTTATACAGAAATCAGAATCTCAGTTTTTAGGGTATTCTTAATCGAGTTTGCATATTTAGTAAAATATTAAGCTATTTCGATCGACATAACTTGTGTATTTGATTTAAGATTGATTAGCAAAATGTGTTAGCATAAGTCAATTAATTTATCCAGTCGACTTCAAGTTGTTTAATAAACTTAATCATGTGATTTGAGTATGATTATTGTTTTCTACGACCATCTCTAACTTTTGGGTTAAAACCTAAAAAAATTTTACCTAGAAAAGTTTTAATCCAGAAACTTTTTTTTTTTTTTTTGCTCCAACCCTTATGGGTTAAATATTTAGCTCTAGATTACTAAAGATTAAATTTTGGATAATTTTTTTCTTGAAGTGACTTTTAAAAAAATTATGTAGACTATTCTAATTTAATTTCATAAACATTTTAACCTAAAAATATTTAAATTCCGATAAATATTGAAAAATCACTAAACCAACACCATGAAACTCGTGGAACACTACAAAAGAATAGGAAACACATGAAAGATTTTTTTTTTAATTATTTTAGCCATTGGACTTAAGTTTTGGACCGTTAGATGTTTTTTTTTCCCTTTGGGTTTGATCATATTAAATCTTAACCGTTAAATTCAATAAATTTATAAATATAAAATTAAAAAAGAATACACATATATGGTGGGGCCAGCCTACTAACTCAGGGGAAATCCTGATCTAAATTTGCCTCAGAAATAAGTATTGGGTTAAAACTTATATTTGGTTCAAGAGTTGGAGCAAGTTGAGATGAGTTTAAAATCTAAAATTTGAATTTTACTTCAAGAATTGGAATAGGTCTAAGGACAGTAAAAAAAATGAAAAAACACCACAATGAAAAAAGCAAAAACAAAAAACAAAAAACGTGGAAGTCAATAAGTATAAAAATGGGTGTAAAAAGAAAGAAAAAGAAGGTCCCACCGAGATTTGAACTCGGGTTACTGGATTCAGAGTCCAATGTCCTGACCACTAGACCATGGGACCGTTCTTGTCAAACCAACATTACCGTTCAATTTATCGTCAATCTTTAATAAAGCCATATAAAGAAAAACATAATTAAATTACATTTCTATTACCTGGGTTTTGTATTAAACATTTATAATTTATGATGACAGCCTAATAGTTTAAATTTAATTGGGAAATTTGAGATTAAATACTAAAAACACCAAACGATTTTTTTTTTTTTAACTCTACTCGTCTTCATCCCTCATTTTCGCTCAATTTTTTTGTTTGGAATGGTTGTATTTTCTCTCCGTTTTTTATCTCCATCGTTAACAAAAAAACAAAAACTTAAAAATAAAAATAAAAACAAAACAAAATAGTTACCAAACAGGCTCCAAAATTTTTATAATCTCTACTAATTAATAAAACACTCATTGTCAACTAAAATCCTATGAAATTACCAATTTAACCCTCTAATTAAAACAGAACATGAATAAGAAATATAGGGTAGAAATGTAATTTCACACAACCAAATTTTACTTTTTTTTTAAAGCCTCACCTACGTGTAATCCTATCATATCTCTAATTAAAAAAATAAAATAATAATAATAATAATAATAAAATAAAAAAATATTCCCACTCCCACATTCCCTATCACTCTCTTCCTCTCTCCTTCTATTTCGAAAACAAAAATAAAAAAATTTCTCACACACTTTATGTGTGCCCATATGCTATTATTAAACTAAAGTAATGAGCTAAACTCAAGTCGCGCCAATGTACCAAAAAGTCTAGTACATGTTTTTTGCTTCAAGTAAATATGACAAGGATATACAATTTTTTGAGCAGGCTGTGGCTGATAACATGGCACTTGGGGCTTTTCATCACCCTGACCTTTGGGCAGATTGGATTCAAGGGGAGGACTGAAGATTACTTTGATAAATGATCCTTTTAATTAGGTTATCTAAAATTTATATATATGCTTAATGTTCAATTATCTCAATTTCTTTTCCCTTCTTTCTCCTGTTGTAACTCCACAACTTGATCCTCCTTAATCAATATTGTGTACCTTTGTGTAAATAAATATGTATTCAAGTCAGGTTACTGCTACTTAGTATTATAATTTAGTGATATTCCTCTTTACTTGTAAGTGTAAGATCTTAAGTTTGATTCTTATCAAATGCAAATTTGAATCACATTATTGCTAGCCCATAGTGAGGCTAAGCCCAACCCCCTCCCTCTTAATATAAATAATATCGTTTGTTCAAAAAAGAAATAGTCAAGTTACTTACAGTAAACACAATGACCAAAAATATGTGGAGTACTAGAAACAAGTAATGCTTATGACTGCAAACCAAATGCAAATTAGGCTTTCAACAATACATTAGATGTATCGATGTTTGTTCAACTGGATTAAAACAACCATAACCTAGTCATGTAAATATAGTCATCTGATGTATGAGTGCATTTATACATCGGAACATTATAGAATACTAAATAGCTGGCACACGCGATGCAAGTGCAAAAACCCTTTGTGGCCTTAATGTGGAAGTTTTCTAGCCACCGCTGCCACCTCCTACCTATCTCTACCAAATCTACAACACCTGATATTCTCGATGCTATGCCAATTTTTAATTTTAAAACCCTAATAGCTTAAAACAGATAAAAAACTGCAATACCACCATTCACCCCTCACCTCTGTCAAATGGTGCCCTATGAAACACAACTAAGTGGTGGCCCCATCCAACATCTCACATGCCCCTCTTCAGATCTCAAAATCAGTCAACACATCCGTCCACCACCTACCTGATGCACTCTTTGCGGCCTAAGAGCAACTCCACCCTTGGTGGTTGCTCGGGAGATAGGTGAAGGGAAAGGGCCTGAGGGCTGGTGGATAGGCCTCCAACGTTGGGCAGCCCGACTGAAGGTGGGAGCCCGAGGGCCAAGCCCGTGGAGAATTGACAGCCCTGCAACCCGAGGTGTGTGTGACGTCAACCTAACGCCAGGCCTGGCGTCGGTGCTTTTTTTATTTTTTTTGTGTCAGGCGCATGCCCCTCACTCGCATGTGTGATAAGTTCACCAATTCACAAAGGAAAATACTAGGAAGATTATATTTTCATACCATACATGTGCCAAGTGATGTGTTCATGATGTTGGACAATTATCAATCAATGATAAATTATATATATGTTAACAAATAATAAATGCAAATCAATAATTTAGCAGAGTATGAACAAAACAAAATTAATATTAAATATATAAACTGAAGATCGAGGCTTGTGTACTACAATGTCCTAAAAACATAATTTTGTCCTACTATGTGCTTGTAATTTGATAGGCGTCTGCTTCATCAAGATTTAACGATCTAAGTCAAAATTCCAACACCATAAAACTAGACTTCTGGCAAATACCTTTGTGGTATTCTCAGTATGTTTTGTATGTAAGGATATGATTTTCAGTAAATTGAATGATATGCAGATGCATGTATTTATAATAATCATATGCATGTTTGCAACATGCATGTTTTTGGGAGGCAACTGTTCAACACAAAGGGCGTGTGGCTCCATCTTTTCCTCAGACTTTTTCATACATTCTCAAAAGATTGAAAAATAAAAAGATTAATTAAATTCGAAATTAATTTAATAAATTAAAAAAAAGCTAATTATTGAATTTAATTATTAGAACTCATCTTTTGATAATTAATTAGATATTAAATATATAATTATTATTAAATAATTATCACACCCCAAAGCCCAAATCCAAGGTTGAGCACAATTTTGCTCTCAATGGTTTATCACTCCAATCATTTTATAAGAGGTACAAAGTCTTATAAAGTGAAGGAATCTTTTGGTGGTGACTAATGTGAGACAATGAGTTAGAATGATATCTCTACTCAAAAACTCCAACACACGTCAATTAATGAGTTTTCTGATTGGATGTTGATTATACTAATCACTTGCCACATCATATAGTATACTAATGTGATCTTCCTAGCATTATTCATTCACAAATAGGTTTCTATTTTGATGTACAAGGTTTATAGACGAACTAAACAATTTGTACAAGTTTTAGATGAAACAATTAATTGCCATGAAGAGTCGGGAAAGAAGGTGTTCGTGGCTAGAATTTCCGTTGAGGATGTTTCCTAGCGGACGAGCACACAGCTCCCCGAGAGGTTGGCGCCAATTGATGCTTTCTGTCTAGCTTCTGCTCACTGGCGGGCTTGTCGGGCAAATCTTGTCGAGCAAGGCTTGTCGGGCAAAGCTGAAAGAGAATGACATGGTTAACTTTGAAAGGTGCCATTGTAGGGCCTTAGGTGTAGGCCTTGAGGCTCACAATCAAGATTAACTTTTAGGTGTTCAGGCGTGCCACTGCCATCTTTAGCATAGTAGATGTAAAACAGATGTTGAGTTTTAATTGTATATATACCTGAGAGGCTGTTTTAGTTATGAAAGGTGCCTTTGTGGGGCCTCAGGTGTAGGCCTTGATGCTCTCAATCAATAACTAACCCAGTACTCGAACATATAATGTTTGTTTCATTAATTGCAGAAGTGTTATGACTATTATACTTCTAATTACCCAAGCCCAAAGAGCAGAATGAATCCAAATAGGTGCCTTTGTAGGGCCTTAGGTGTAGGCCTTGAAGCTTCCCATCAGAATTACTTCTATACTCAAACGTTCTACAATAATCATAATATAACAAAAATAAAACTAAGAAATAGGTCGATTACTTGCGCCCCAAGTAACTTCGGACTTCTTGTTATCAAAGGTTGTCGTGGATGGGTTAAGTCCACATAAGGTTCTTTTTTATGCCTTGAGACCAAGGACTTTTGAATGATCAATCTTACATGCCCGAGGGTTTAGAACTTAGATCTGATTTAAACTGTGACTACATATTCCAATCGGATTCAAGCACTGAGGAGTCTTTTAATCATCAACTTGCTAGAACTAACTTGGATACAAATGGAAGTATACAACATATTACTAGACTTATGAATGAAAAGACAAAAACAAAGAGGGTCGGGCAAGGTTTCACCTTGTCGGGCAAGACTGGTCGTCTTGCAACTTCCTATCTTTGTGATTTATAGAGGGGCTTGAGAGCTTAGAAAGAGGGATAGGGAGATGAGTTTACAGAAGGAAATCGATACTACAGTAAGATTTAGACAAGGTAACAGAGCTTTTACAAAGGCTTTTGGTGAGGGTTGATCCCGAAAGGGATGAAGGCTTGGGCTGACTACAGCTTCATTGAAAGCAAATCTGGCTTGAGCAGAGTTTGTGCTTGTATTTGTTTGGCTGTTTGAGTGTCCTCATCTCTGATTTCTCTTTCTTCTTTTATAGACAGTTTGGCTTGGCCTCCTGTAGCTTTAATCTTGCCCGAATGCAGCTTGAAGGGCAATGACTCATCAGTTTTTTACTTATACTGCCACTGTAAAGTGCTTTTGGGCTAATTAGCTGGCTGGTCTACACCACTTAGTCTCTAGGTAGGTGAACAAGTGGTTCAAATGATCTGCACCTAGTCGGGAAAATGCCTTTTCTACCTTCTGGGTTTTTGCTGGGCTTCGGGCTCCTTTCCTCCTAGTCCTTCTTTTGGGCCGACTCCCTTTTTAGCTCAAAGTTCAAGTTTTAACCCAAACAAAAGGAACGTATAATTAAGTGGTTACATGCTGTGGGTAGGTTTATTGTTGAATTTTGGAGACTTTAGGTTCCTCTGTGATAGAAGATGAAGTCTTGACTATCACGGAGATATGTCTCCATGTTCCCTTACGGAAGCTTGGGTAAGAAGAGATTTTCAAGTTGTACGAATATTTGAGACCAGGTTATTAAGAAGTGGATTACAAAATGTTAGCTGGAGGATATTAGAAATGCGAAAAATGCCTTCTAGGTTATGTTTGGGTGAGTGATTTAAAAAATTCAGGGGATTGAGGGAAGGAAATTTTGTGAAAAACATGTTCATTTAAGCAACATCTATAGCATGCAATTAACAAATTAAAGGCGGAATCATGCTTGCATGCACTCAAAACAAAACATTACCCATAAAATTCAAAGCCTAGTAGTTAGGTGAACCAAGACTCAACTCAAAAGAAAGTGAGTTGAGAAATTTATACCTTTGTAGATTCCTCTTTGCAAAAGCAAAGGATAATCACCCAAGAGATAGGGCCTTCATTCCTTGCTTCTTAGATCCATGGATTTGGATGGAAGAATAGGTTTCTCCAAGTTCCCAAAATTGAGAACCTCTAAGTCTCCACACCAAGGTAAGATGTGAAGAAGAGATGAGTGACCTTGGAGGAGAAAGATTACTAGCTAATCCCTCCAAGGGTGTGTTGGAAATATGCCCTGAAAGTCAATCTTTGGAAGAAACCTTTCAGGACAAATGAATCGATGTATAGATGACTCTTATACATCAAATGACAAAGATACTAATTAGGACTATCTCAATAAACGATATATGTCCTAAATAGTGAATCCATGGACAATGGATCGATTGAAGAAGTAATCTAATGATGTTAGACTACAGAGACCTTCTTCACATAACCATTATGTCCAAAAAGGTTCCTGGTCATTGGATTATTGGAGGGAAACTGACAATGCTTAGACCGGTACATACTGTGTTCGCTTCAAATGGAAGAATGGAAAGTCTCATCCCATTCGTGTAGTGACACTAAGACAAGTATGTAGGTGCTCATTAAGGGAATGAGTTCACTGAACAAAATCGAATGAGAGTACTTGCATGGAGGTCTACTCACATGTCAAGCAAGTAACTCTAATGGTTGGAATAATGTAAGTAGTCCTTTGACCTAAGGCATCGTCGTTGTCTTGTGGCTAAGTACTTAATCTTTGATTATGTCAAAGTCACCCCATTCGTGGGTGTCCACGGCATAATTGGGGTTAAGCCACTTAGTCATGAAGGCAAGTGAATGCGCAACAAGGAATCTCTAATCCTCGATAAGAGAGGAAGAATACTCTAAGATATGATTCGGGAATCTTCGGCCGAAGTATCGAGCGTAATAAAGGAAAGCGTTCCTATACGACTCAATAGAATCATATAAGAAGGAATAATCACATTAGGGGTTTGACATAATATATCCATACCCTAGTAATGTGATTGAGAGTATTGTTTTAGAGAATGATCGAATTACATTGTA